CATCTGTTGGCGAGTTTTCCGGTCCAGGTTCTTTCCAGTGCTGCATCGTAGAAAATGACCCTATCTCCTACGCTCACCCTCGCTTTCCTAATTCGCACGTTCTTATCCCATCTCTCTTTACCCTTGTCCCTTTCTACTACCAGACTATCTGCCGCTGTCATGAGGTCATCTTCCAAACCGTAGGCTATTTGCCTCGTTCGGGCAGCTAAGAGTTCCTCTCTGGACATCTCCTCCGCCCAGTCGACGGTTGTCCAACTGTCGACGTGAAACTCTATGGGAAGCGGACAATGTCGCCCAAACGACAAGGTGTACGGTGGGTATCCGGTACTAGCCCGGACCATGACGTTGTTCGCCCATATTGCGTATCGAAAATATCGCGGCCAATCACTGTCCTTACCCTTGCACCACTTGGACAGTGACGCTATTAGAGTCTGGTGTCCCCTCTCTACTGGGGAGTTCGACTGTGGGTGATAGGCGGTGGCTATCGAAACTCTCGCACCGGCTCTCCTAAACACGCTCTGAACCTCGTCGGCTAGGAATTCCGCTCCTCTGTCCATCACTATCTTGCTGACACAACCATACCTAGATAAGTATTCTAGGACAAAGTTCTTTACTTCCTCTGCCGCCTTACTCCTGATAGGTCTACCGTCCACGAACCCAGTGAAATTGTCTCGTATGTTCACGACGTAGTTCATATTGCCTACCCGTCTCGGCATTTTCACTAGATCGATGTGTACCTTCTCTCCTGGTCTGGTCGGATAGGATGGATGAAGTGGCTCTTTGTATTTCACAAGAGCTCTCTTCTGGCACTCTTCGCATGTCATACAGTACCTCTCGACGTCCTTATACTGTCCTTCCCACCAGTACAGCCGGCGTATCTTTTTGTAGGTTCCTTTAACTCCCTTGTGTCCTCCGACTACCCCGTCGTGAAGTTCCGCAACTATCATCTGTCTCTCCTCAGGATCATAGACTACTCGTAAGGGCATTCCGGACCCTACTGGCCTTCGGAAAAGGTGGCCTGCTCTAAGGCAATACTGGGCTGCTTGCCTTCGGATTTATGAATCTTGACTCTCCTCTCCCGTCAGGTGTAGTCCGATCATTCGGTACTTGCCCTCGTAAAGATTAACTAAAAATCTATCGGCGCGCCTCGGCTCTGCCATTGTCAGAGCCCCAACTACTATCGGACGCTCGAGAGGGATGCGTGAAAGTCCATCTGCCACAGCATTTTTAGTACCAGATACTCTCTCAACCGTGTAATCGTATAGCCGAATCCGTATTAACCATCGGGCGATGGTCGGGTCCGTCAGACTAAAGTCCTTCTGGAGGGCAGAAGCAACCGCGGTGGGGTCTACTCTCAAGATGAACCGTCGCCTATAGATATAGTGTCTGAACGTGTCTAGACACCGGAGAACAGCTAGCACTTCTTTCTTGAACTGACTGTAGTTACGCTCAGCCGTATTAAGTGTCCTACTCTCAAATCTTAACGGTCTTTCCTTCCCTYCAGCATCTTTCTGAGACAGCAAACCACCCACTGAACATGGTCCAGCATCCGTGGATACTATGAAGGGTCTCTCGGTCTCATCGTCAAAGAATGGCACGCCCAACACGCGTCCTCCCTCCTTAAATTCGTCTTTAAGTTCTTGCATAGCGAGTTCCTGTGAAGAGCCCCAGTAGAACTTTTCAATCTTTCGAAGGAGTAACCTCAATGACTCAACCTTCTCCGCATACCCCCGTATGAATATACGCCAGTAACCGACCACTCCTAGAAACTGTCGGACCTCGGTAGGGCTATGCAACGGTGACGGCCAGTTCAGAAGTTTGTCTAACTTCACCGGATCTGCTCGGCGCCCTCTCGAGTCACAGATAAAACCCAAGATCTTAATAGCCGAAACGGCCCATCGGCTCTTGGTTCCGCTGACTGTCAAATTCGCATCTTCCAGCTGCTCGAGTACCGCGCAAATATCTGTTAGGTGCTGCTCGACGAATCTTCTAACTCCAGGTACAACCTCTGTCTCATCCCTGTCTACAGACCCTTTTATAGGAAAGTCATCCAGAAAAACTTCAACCTTATCAGGGATGAAGTCCTTGAGGACGGCTACCATGGCTCTCTGAAAAACGGCTACGCCATTAGTCCACCCCATAGGGACAACCATCATCTGTATTAGTCCCAATGGCGTATGCATAGCCGTGAGGTGTCTGTCCCTAGGGTCAAGCGGTACCTCATCATATCCTGAGAACAGATCACATACCGAATAGATCGACCTACCTGCTGCGCCTTCTGCCAGTAAATCGGCGTGTGGCACGGAGCCCACGTCTCGTATCGTCACCGCGTTG